CTAGACAGCGTATTAAAAAGAAGAGACATCATCTTGCTGACAAAGATCCACATAATCAAAGCTATGGTTTTTCAGGTAGCAATGTATGGCTGTGAGAGCTGGACCATAAGGAAGGCTAAGCGCTGAAGAATTGATGCCTTTGAATTGTGGTGCTGGAGAAGACTCTTAGGAGTCCCTTGGTCAACCAGTCAATCCTAAAGGAAATCAACCCTGACTGCTCATTGGTAGGATTGATACTGAAGCTCAAGCTCAGATACTTTGGCCACCTAATGCAAAGAGAGGAGTCTTTGGAAAAGACCCTGATGCAGGGGAAGATTGAAGGCAAAAGGAGAAGGGGATGGCAGAGGATGAGATGGTTATATAGCATCACTGAAGCAATGAACATGAAATTGAGCAAACCTCAGGAGGCAGTGAAGGACAGGAAGGCCTGGCATGATATGGTTCATGGGGTCACGAAGAGTCGGACACAACTTAACGACTGAACAACAACAACAACATAGAGGAGAAAGAGATTTTACTGAATAAAATAGAGACTGAGACTGATCTGAATGTGGACTTGAAAACAGATTTAAAAACACCAAGCTGTAAGAGTGATATGGAGAAGGATGATATTTTGGATTTACAAATGAAACCGGTTGGGTCTGCCAATTTAAAAATGGTCTTAACAGAAGCTACAGAAGAGGAACAGATTTTATCGGACAAAATAGAGACTGAGGCTGATCTGAATGTGGATTTGAAAATGGATTTAAAAATTCCAGGCTACAAGAGTGATATGGAAAAGGATGTTACCTTGGATTTACAAATGAAACTGGCTTATCATAACTAAGGAGGACATACAAATAAGAAATCAGAAGAGTGACTTGGATGACTTTAATGTTTTGGATTTACAAAAGAGACTTGTTAAACTGATGAAGGAATTTCTGAGAGGAGACAAAGAGAAAATGATAAGAAATCAATTTCTGTGACATTGTGAAAGGATTAAAGATTAAGCTTTTTAAAATTAAATAGAAGGAAAATAAAGTCAATTTATTCAATCAGGGTTAAAATATATATGTTGTGGTTTCTGGTAGCTCTTAAGGAAACATTTTTCTCTGACCAGGTCTGAATGACAAAGATTTAAAGATTTACATGTTAAATTAGTGAAGGAGTCTTTCAGAGAGGTTTTAAAGATGTGTTTATAGATAACTGATAAGATATGAGGAGATATTTCTTTTGCTTTAGTCTTTCGAGAAAGTGATAAGATGGAATATAAAATGGAGTTATTTGATTAAGGTTAAACATAAATGTAATTATTTCTGGTAGCTCTTAATGGATATTTGCTGATTAGGACTGAATGATGAGTTTTTATAATTTGTTTATTGATAATAGATGAGATATGGGAAGATTTTTTTATTATTATTAATGAAACATTAGAGAAGGTGTTAATTCTCTGAAGTTGTTTATATTTGTCAGGAGGGAGGGGGAATAATAATCTTTTATATAACCCTTTTTTTTCTCAATTCTTTCCCCTCTTTTATTTTTTTCTCTGCACTTTTTCTTTTCTCTTTTTTAATCTTTATATTTTTCTTAGTTTGCATTAGTTTTTTACTTTGTATTTCTAAACTTTAATAAAATTATTATTTAAAAAAAAGGATTCCAAATATCTGGATGGTTGCTATATAGCAGCAAAGAGAGGTGTAAAATTGTCACTTTCCTTTCAGTTAGTGATCATCTAGATTTGCAACCTGCAACCAAAAAGATTTGCAAGATATGGCAACCCTGTACTACAAAGAATGAAATCATGTAAGGATTGGAAGGAATCTTGAAGATAATCTAGTCCAATTCTCTGCCTGGTATAGGATTCCACTACCTGGGGCATACAGTATCATTTCAAATGGCTTACATACTCATTGTTATGCAAGATATAAACAAACAAATAAATAAACAAATAAAATATTTATAACCCTAAACAATTCAGAGATGAAACTGAATCCATTTGTGGATTAATTTAATTTTGTAGATAAATTCACCCAATAATTTTTATTATTCTGGCTGTACATACATATGGTGGCCTCGGCAAAATTTTTACTTGCTGAAGCAGGTGGCTGTTCACAAGTATATTACAACATTTCTAATTAGTATATTCTGAAATTTTAATGGGTGCTTAATTTTTAAATGAGAGCCAGTTTGGTATAGTGAATAAGGCACAGGGCTAGAAACTGGGAGACCCCGAATTCTAGTCCTGCCTTAGGCACAAAGCCAGCTGGGTGACCTTGGGCCAATCACTCTCTCAGCCCTAGGAAGAAGGCAATGGTCAACTACTTCCAAAATCTTGCCAAGAAAACTGTAGGACTTGTCCAGAGAGTCGCCGGAAGTCATCAATGACTCGAAGGCATGTGCACACACACACATACACACACAATAATTAAATGAGCTCCACACAAACAATAACATGCTTATGTGTGAGGTAAAGTATCTGGAATATTGTGTGCAGTTCTGGTTGCTGCACCTCACAAAGGATACTGTGGAACTAGAGAAGGTTCAAAGGAGGACAACTAAGATGATCCAAGGGGCTGGAGTATGAAGAAATGTTGTGACATTTGGGGCTTTTTAATCTAGAAAGGAGGCGAATGAGAGGGAACATGACTGAGGTGTGCAAACTTATGCATGGTGTGGATAAAGTGGACAAGGAGAAGCTATTTTCCTCTTCCCAAAAAACTAGAATCAGAGGTCACCCAATGAAATTGAATCTTGGAAGAATCAGGGCAGACAAAAGAAAACATTTTTTTACACAGCATGTAATTAAACTTAGGATTTGCTACCATGAGATTTGATGCTGGCTACCAATGGCTGGCTTCAAAAAAGGGGTGGGCCAATTCCTGGAAGTCATGGGGAACAATGGCTATTAAACTGGATGGCAGTATGAGTGTCTCTGAAGGCCATCTGCTGAGTGACTAGTAGGCTTCCTTGTGTGGTTGGTTGGCCACCGTGATAAAAGACTGCTGGACTAGATGGGCCAGGGGTCTGATCCAGCAGGGCACTGCTTATGTCCTTACGAACACTGTTATCCTATGCTGATTAATCACAACACTCTTAATCTATAAATGGGCACAATTTTCCTTAAGGCTTTTCTCTGTGGGACATGGACAAGAAACTGCTTGCTACTATTTCTTTCCTAGGACTGCTCAAGCAAACAAAATGTCTCTTACCACCCCATAGGCAACAGTGTCTGAGTACATTCTCATCTCGGGATACACACTGACAAGATACCACCGGAAGGTCTTGCACTGCAGCTTTTTTCTCAAGGCCTTCCTCTCTGAGATATCCCCAATGTCAATTCCAGAATCCTATGCATGAGGGCCAGAAAAAAGATCAGAAATATCAAAATCATTCTTGTCATAGGCAGACCATTTGCTTCATTAATATTTCGACTTTAGGGATCAAAAGAAAACTTCCCACGGGCTTTGAGGGACTTTTAATTAGTTCCACAATGATCATTTCTGAAAAGGCAATTTTCAGATTCTAAAACAATTGAAACCAAATAGCAAGATGGTCTGGAAAACATATTTCTGTCAACAAAACCAGAAACATTTTCCAGACTCTACTAGCTGGAAAGATGAAGTGTGGCTTTATCAATGCGCCACAAAGACTCATTATATTTTTCTGTTGTTAGCTCATCTTTTTCTTTTTCACACATGAATATAAACATTTTAGATGGCCTTTTCATTAAATGCATTTGCAAAACTTTCTTATTTTAGATTTTTTTTTAATCCCGCCTTTATTATTTTTATAAATAACTCAATGCAGCAAACATACCTAATACTCCTTCCTCCTCCTATTTTTCCCAAAACAACAACCCTGTGAGGTGAGTTGGGCTGAGAGAGAGTGACTGGCCCAAAGTCACCCAGCTGGCTTTCATGCCTAAGGCAGGACTAGAATGCACCCTCCTGGTTTCTAGCCTGGTGCCTTAACCACTAGACCAAACTGGCCCTCTTTTACCTTTTAATTACATTTTTATAGCTAAGCCTTGCTGCTGCTAACATAGTTACATGGAGTTTAAGATATCCAAGTCCCATAAAGACCCTGTAAATGGAGATCACTTAGCTATCTCATTATAGCTAAGCTGTGGAGTTTCTGAGAAAGACATCTACATGGAAATTCAGGAGTAGGAACAATTTTTGATAGGAATCAAAATGATATTCTTTTTTTTTTTTCCTGTTGATTATGCCCTTACACTCACATAGCCCAGAATAAATGTAGCATGGCTTCTGTTAATCTTCACAGACTGAACTGTAGAATGTTGCTGTCACTCAAGAAACATTCAGCATGGGCCCAGTGTTGATGGCACCTCAACAGCATGTGTGATAAGGAAGAAGGGCAATGGATGGAGGAAAAGGAAAAGGACAGTAGATGGAAGAAGAATGCTTGAGTCTGTTCTGTGATAAGGTTACCTTTGCACTGAATGAAGGCCCCTAAAGGGTTTTTTTTAGTGCCTTCATTTGTGTATGTGTGGGGGGGGGGGGCGATGAAAAAATTATTTCAAAGAACATTGTAATAAATATTTTACAGGATATCATCACACATTGGGGTCTGAAGCAGAAAAAGCACACCTTTTTGTTTTCATGCATTTATCTTGCATTTAAATACATTTGCTTCCTGTATTTTAATAGAATATTATCTTCTGCCACAGAAACACAGGGATACAAACTAGCAATATTATAGGCATTATACCCAACGGAGAGAGAGAGTTCTCCAAACAGATCTGTTTTGATGACAGGATCCTGCAGTTATATAACCAAATCCTATTAATATTAGTAGTTCAGATTAGGGGTTTGTTCTTTGGATTTAATACTTTCAATTTCTCTCTCTATGGACTGGATATACTGCTACTGATTGATTGATTGATTGAAACTGTTTTTTAATGTTCTCCCAATATTTATTGTTGTTCTTAGTATTGTTCCTGCAGAAAACCAGTCCTATCAAAATCAATTAGAAATACAACTGAGCAAATCATTTCAGGTGACACAAATCGTGTGATAAACATTCATTGCTGAACGAGATCATGGCTTCTCAATCTTATCTTTATGATACAATTATCCTAATCTGGATCCTGGACTGTAAATTTGCTGAAATAATTAAATGTAGTTGCAGTCCTACTGTATTTTCTGATAATTGTAAAATGACCTGTTCCCAATTGATGATCCTCTTGGACTTGGCTAAGGGACATCCTGTCTTGGGCTTATGTGTTTCTCTCAACAGACTTCCCAGCTTAGCAAGACATGCTTTGAAGGTTATCAGTTATCTCTTGGTCTCACAAGACAGACTCTGCATATGAGCCTGGGAGAGGTCTCCATTCTTGAGAAAACATGAAATTGAAACTGATGGGGATTTGAAGCATAAGGTTTTATGGTCATACTGATGCTCATTTACAGCCTACCTCCTGAGGAATATTCCATGCCATGTAAACATGACTTTTAAACTCGTCCATCCAAACTTCAGCCACTCTTAGTGCATTTCTTCGGACATGAGATGTTAGATCTTCTGTGTATGGCTTATGAGCTCGTTCAATATGGGCAATCCTAGAGCAAGGCAGGACTTCAACGCTACCGCCACACTGCCATACCTAGAAAAAATAAATTTTGCTATATTGGACAGATCCATTCTACTAACATTTCAATAGCCCCCATACCAGATTTCACAATGTATAGGAATCTCTCCTAGTATAACTCATAGTGTGTGACAGCACATTGTAAATTCACTTCTGGTATTAAATAAAAGAAGTTCTACCTTAATTCTAGAGATATAATTGTCCCCTTCCCTATTTAGCACTTGAATCTGGGTAGTTGAACCTCAGGGAAGTAAAAAATAAAATAAATCCTACAAGGCTGAACTTACCTACTTTTGACCAATAGTACTCCTTTGAAGTAATCCCCTGAAGAACCCTAAATTTTGTGCAAGTTATTTTTTAGGCAAAAATGAGAGGATAAGATACCATCTTAAATGAGTACACTAACATAGCTGCAAGGCCCACTGAACTGGAGAACTCTGCTTCTTCCTTGGAAAATCTTTAAATAAATCTTCTCTGCAAAATATTGGTGTCAAGTAGAATTTTGGGAGGCTATTTTCTTTTAGCCCGACCGTGAAACATAGAGTTTCTGGACTGTTCTATTTTAGAATCGTGCAGATTGATCCTCCATCTCATATTGGCTGAAATAAGCTGGCTGGCCATTAAGTCAGAAAATGAAAATTAATTTTGCCAGGTTTGTTCATTTCCTGTTAATACACTGGTTCTCAGCAAGTGACAACACCTTGAATACCTTGTATGGGCACTTAAACAGGCCTCTTTAGTCCTTGGATGGGAGACAACCAAGGAATGAATATCAGGACAGTAGCTTAAGAAGCCAAAAAAGGCAATGGCGGATCACTTCCATATTGTTGCCAAAGAAATCCATGAGGAGTCCAACTCGAATAGACGACTTTCTTTTTCCTTTTCATTCATCTATTATGCCAGGATGGTGTTCTGTTCAGAGACCTATTTCAGATAGTTTGGCCATTAGACTGCAATACAATAGACCGGCATGCTGGCTGGGGAATTCTGGGAGTTGAAGTCCAAATATCTTAAATTGCCAAGGTTGAGAAACACTGCAACAGACATTTGACAGCATGAAACACTAGAAGAATATGGAACAGATTCAGGATATTTATAAGGGTGGTACTCTGTTCTGTTTTTTGCGGGGGGGGGGGGTTGGGTCGT